CCAACGGGGATCAGCTGGGGCAGATCCACTGGTCCCAGTCCTGGGAAAATGGGCCAGGCTGGGGAAGGTGGAAGGACCCCAGCGGAGGGCACGCAGCATCCCCATCGCCCCCCGTGGAAGCCCCCCTCACCATCAGTGGGGAAGACACAAAAGGTCTTGCTGGGCAAGGGGGAAAAGAAATAAAATTTTTAAAAAATTAATTTAAAATGGGTGTTTTCTGATGGGAATCTCAGAGTTTTTGCTTTAAAACGCGTCGCCTGCCCAACTAAAACGATGCAGAATAATTGACGGAACAAGAGGGAAGCCGAAGGGGGCTTTTCCCCCCTCTGCGCCGGCAGCCGAGTATGGAAACGGTTAAGTTCCCCCACCGAATAAATCAAAAGTTCAAGGCTGCAGCGGAGCCGGCCGTACCCCCCCTCTGCCCGTGACAAGAACCAGAGAGCCCCCGAAATCCCAAGCATCCTGCGCGGGGTCTCGGCCGGCGCTCACGGGTTACACGCTCGGGGTCAGCGCCGCGGACCTCGGCGGCAACATTCATTTCCTGAGCGGGGCACGTCCCCCTGCCCATAAAGCTAATCAGGGCTTCCTCGCCCCGCGCCGCGGCCGGCAACCCTGCTTTCCATTAGCCCCTTATGATGCCAGGTGCCGCTAATAAGGCCCATCAGCAAGAAACAAGAGCTGCCAAGTCCTCTTCGGACTCTGGAAGTAATCACGGGCAGAGTTTGGGGGGCTGCTGGCTTTTCTTTTTTTTTTTTTTTTTTAATTTTCCCTTCCCTCCCCCCCTCGTTTTCTATTTTTCCTCCTTTTTTCCCCCCAAGTTTCGGCTGCGGCAGAACATAAATTGCCGAATGCTTAAAATAAAATAAAAAACAAGCACTGTATCAGGCTACCGAAATTAACACTAATAACATCTCACAAAGCACTTGGGATCCGATTTATCACGTTTATTGCTTTAATGGTATAGTGCATCTGTTTCTCACTGTGACATGTCGAGCGGTGCCAACGTGCCTAATGGCATTAGCCGTACGCGGCTGGGCTAATCCAGGCGGAGAGGGACGGAGCCGCGGCGGGCGAGGACGGAGCCCGGAGCTGGAACACCAGCTCACGACGGCACCAACGGTACAGCTCCGTGCGGGTCCCGGGATCTGCCGGGGGTCCCAGCCGGGACCTGGATCCCGATGGGAAGCTGCGGTTTTCCCCGAGCGGGAGCATCCCGGACCATCGGGAGCATCGGTGCCTGGTCCAGCACGGCTGGGAGAGGGCAGGCAGCTCTGCCACCCCTCCGCCCTTCAGAAAGGGGAAAAGAGGGCAAAACTCTGCCATTTGGGGCACGGCGGTTGGCCAGCAGCCGGGGCGGGAGAGCAAGACTCCTTATTCCTACCCCAAGGACACCCCACCGGAGCCACCTCCCTGAGGTGATGGCTCAGCCACAAAACCTCAAAGGGCAAAAACTCAGAGGTGAAAACTGGAGGGGAGGCTTTTTCCAAGGTGCATCCCCTGTGTAAGAGTTTTGCTTCCAGCCAAAACCACTCCCGGGGGAGTCTTCACCCATCATCCCCACAGCACGTCCCGTTTCCAGCCCAGCATCCCCCCTCGCACAGACCCACGGGGTGGGCAAATTCCCAGGGTGGGGATGCTCGGCCGTGCCCCTAATGAACTTGATCAAACCTCAACCCCTCCCACAGCCCTGCTGTCAGCCTTAAAAAAAAAATAAATAAAAAAGAAACCACGCCTTTTATAAAGTTTTACGGTATTTGACTTCCTGATGAAACATCACTCCGGGCTCAGCACAGCGCTGGCGGCGCAGCTCGCGAGGTACAAACCGACCCAAAAAGGGCCGCTGAACTACGGCTTTTTTTGTCTGCAATTAGAAGCGCCGATCGATACTAACATTAGATTAAGTTTGAACTTTGCTGAACCGAGAAGGAAATCTTTTATAAAAAAAATTAAAGAGCTGCCGACTCGATACACACTCAATTAGTCAAAATCATAAGCTCGGTCAAGAAGGGGGAAAAAAAACCCCGGATCACACAGCAGCCTGTGGGTTCGGGGACCCGAAAACCCCGAGGAGAGTCTGGCAGCCACCTGGCCACCAAAAGGTCACAGCTCAGCACTCTTGGCTTGCCCGCCTTGCGACGGGGCACAGCGAATGCTGCCACGAGGGTGGCCGGGGCAGCCAACGCTCCCTCGGGCACCCTCCATCACCTGGGCAAGCAGCCCCCCCGACACGCTAGCCGAAGCCGGCAAAAAGCCAGCCCAGCCCTCTCTCTCCCCTTTCCTGGGTACGTTTCCCATTCTAATGAAGGCAGGAACAACACTCGGGAGGCTCCCAGACTATAAACATATATATTTATCCTTCTATAGGCATGTGTGTGTGTAAACAAACATCCCTGCCATATGTATACGCTCGCTGGTGCCGTGTAAACAGGCGGGGGGCACGCCGGCTCCTCGGGCTCCCTGCAGAAAGCGGGGGGGCTCTGGATGGGTTTGGGCTCTCTCTGTCACCTGCCGGGGCTCGGCACACGAAAGCCATCGTGCCGGGTGGCCGAGCATCCCTCGGGGGTGGCCGAGCATCCTGGGGTGCTGCCTGTGCCGGAGGTGCCCCTGGCCGGCCCCCGCTCACCGCGGCTGAGCCCCCGCCGCGCTCGCTTCGGGGTGGGAAAGCAAAACCACAGCAGCGAGAGCAGAGCAGAAAGAGGTCAGCGAAAGCCACCAGCCCAGGAGCAGCGCGGCGGTGCCCCCGGCACATCCTGCCCCCGCCACCGGCCGCAGAGGGCGGGGGTGCCGGGACCTCGGCGCAGGGCGCAGGTCCCCCCAAAACCCCCTCTCCACCAGGCACCGGAGCCCGTAGCCGGCGCGTCGCAGCTGCCACCGCCAGCAGAACTGCTCCAGCAGGGAGTTACAGATCCCAGCCTCGCGTAGATGCTGTTTAACAGCTCCATAAATACAATAGGATCCCACAAATCCTCCCCAAATGGTAATTTTCACCACGTATTAGAAAGCAAACACCATAAAAAAGCCACATGAGCCCTCGTCTACACACAAACCGCCTTAGATTTAGACTTGGGGGCGAGGAGGGGGGTGAGTTGGTTTGAGTGTTGCCCAACGCCTTTCAACATGGACGGCCTTACAGCCCGGCACGGGAAGGGCTCGCAGGACTTGGTGAGCTCGGCCAGGGCCAGGTAACCTCCCCGACAGCCAGGACGGGCACAGGCAGCTCCGCGCTGGCTTCGGCAACCGCCTTCCAGGCTCGGCTCATGGGGGATGGCTCAGCCCCCCACCTCAGTCAGAGCCCACCAGGGCACAGCACGCACCCAGCCCCGATAACCATCCTGAATAATTAAGAAATAAGCTCTGACCCCACAGCCAAGGCTGTCAAAATAAGGCAAAGCCCAGGAAGGCGATGTGAAACAGGGGCTGCTGCGTCGGGCCACGCTCCCCCGTCTCCCGATCGCAGGGGGAAGGATCCGACCTTCCAGCCCCGGCATCGGTCACGGCTCTCGGGCTCGGAGGGGGAAAGGGAGACGGCCACGTCCGTGGCTGAACGGCACGTTAAAATTCTCTCTGAGCCTCCACTGCAGCTCTGCTCCGGTGACGTTCGGTCTGCATCACGGCGCGGCCGGGGACGAGCCGCACTGAGGCAGCTCCGGGCGCGTTCGCCAGCACAAGCCCCTGCTCCGCCGCCGGCCACGCTGGCCATGGGGGGAACAAAGCAGCCACAAAGAGCCGGGGGGACCCCCGCGCGGGGCGAGGGCTGCTCTGGGGCGATGCTGGCAGACCCCCACGGGGCCGAGAGCCCCGGCGCTGCCGCCCCGGGAACGCTCCCGGGATGAACGTGCGGGAACTGCTGCTCCGGCACCGCATCCCACACCGCTGGCGTGCCGGCACCACCGGCTCCCCCGCCACAGGCGTGCGCCGGCACGGCCACCCTCCCCGGAGCGCCTTACGTGCATCGGGACTAATTAACCTGTTGATTCATTAAAAAAAAAAAATAAAAAATCTGGGAGGGTGCACAGCCTGAGCACCAAGCACCACACACTGCACCGGGGCTGCCTCAGCCCAGGCAGGACGCTGCCGCCAGTGCGGTGCTCACCGAAGCACACCCAGCACCCAGGGGTTTGAGCGGCGATGCCGATTTAGGGACAGTAATTAACACGGCTCCGATCCCCAGCCAAATGGGGGAACGAGCTCCGCTCCCCGTGATCAGGAGACGGTAAGCGGGGGAGCGCCCAACTCCCATGCCGGTAACCACCACCGCGCTCCCACCCCGCAGCAGCCCCCCGAGAGCACAGATCCCCCCAACCCGAGACGGGGAGCCCCAAAATCACATCGGCAGCCGCTGGAGGTTCAGCCCTGAAGCCATCATCCCCGCAGGGAGCGACCCACGGCTCCGCGGCCCCCGAGCCCTCCGTGCTGGCCCCGGCGTCACCCGGCCTGACCTACGTGTCACTTTGTGCAAAGTGCAAATATTTCACAAACCGGGGAGCCGAGCGGCACGCAGCCAGCGGGCCGGCGAGGCGCTGCCCGCCGCCATCCCCACTGCCATCCCCGCGGCCGGGCACGGGGGTCCCACAGGTCTCTCCCCTCCTCGCCCCACAGCGGGGCTGGGCAGGAGGGACCAGCTGAGGGTGGGTGAGGGCTGACGGACCCCCCAGCTCCCCTTCACACATCGGTCCCTAAACTCCGGGGGTAGGGACCGTGAGCCATTCGGCGGATGCTGGCCAGGGAAAGCGGCGGGGTTTGTGCTAGCAGGAGAGACCCCCGGACCGAGCCCCCTCCGGCTGCCCTCCCCAGCCGGCGCTCGAGGGAAGGAACCTTCTGGCACGGCAGCCAGACCTGGAAAAGTTGCCAGAGCTGTACCCCCCCCCCAGTACACACCGCTCAGCATCCCTGTCCGCAGTGGGAACTCTGCACCGACGCACGCAATGCCCGACTCGAACCCCAAATCCTCCAGCGAGATCCCACCCGCCCGGCGCAGAACGCGGCGTCGCGGCACTCACCGGTGCTGCTCGAGGGTCTCGTTGTCCGGCAGCTCTGCCCCGCACACGCTGCACTGCTCGCCCAGGGCTCTGCTCTCCGTCTTCATGCCGGCCGCCAGCTCCCCCAGCTTGCTGAAGAGCTCCCGCTGGATGAAGCCCTGGGGCAGCAGCCCCCCGTAAGCGCTGAAGTCCATGGAGACGGCCAGGGCCGGCTGCACGTGCAGGGCGGACGCCACAGCGGGCGGCACGCCGAGCACCGGCTCAGTCTTGTGGTTGGGCAGCAGGGAGTAGATGCCCAGGGGCTTCCCGTCCTGGCCGGCGGCGGCGGACGGCTCCGGCCCCAGCGATAGCCCCTGGCCGGGCTCAGGCGGTGGCTCGGTGCCCTCCTCCCGGCCGTAGTGCAGTTCGCGGGCGCTGGTGATGACGCTGCCACGGGTTGGGGTGCCGGGCCCTTCCTTGCCCTTCTCCTCGGGCTTCTCCCCGCCAGAGGCGCCGGGCTCGGCCGCCCGAGGGCTGTCGCGGTTGGAGGCGTCGTCCACCTGCATCGCTTCGGTTTTCACCTCAGCGAGGCCGGGGGGGCGGCGGGTGGCGGGGCGGGAGTCCTCGGGGGCGGCGGGCGGCAGGGCCCCCTGCAGCAGCGACTGCCCGATGGTCATCAGGCTGTCCACCGCCGCCTTGGTGGGGCTCATGGCGGAGAGGGGGCCGAAGGAAGAGGAGGCGGAGGGGCTCTGCTCCGCCGTGGCCGCTGGCAGGCTCTGGCCGGCCACACTGGCGTAGCCGCTCTCCTCAGCAGCGGGCTTAGAGATGAAGAGGCCCTTGATGTACCTTGACTTCCTCTCCTCCTCTTCCTCAGCGGTGCCTCCATCGGCCATGGCGACCTCGGTGTCGTTGTCCTCGGAGGCCTGGATGGTCTCCAGGATCTTCAGGCACTGCTCCTCCAGGTACTCAATTTCCAGGATCTCGGCGGCGTAGAGCAGGTCGTCCAAGTCTTCGACCTTGGCCTGCAGGGTGGCGGTGTAGGCGTACTCCAGGATCTGCTGGAAGGTCTTTGGCGAGAGGAAGTCCAGGGTGTAATGCTGGCTGTTGCGGTGGAAGAGGATCTCGAACATCTTGCTGGTGCAAGCCAGCACCGTCCGGTGCGCGTGGAACTCCTGGCTGTCCACCATGATGACCACGTCGCAGAGCGTCCCCGCCAGGCGCATCTGGTTGGCTTTGTGCAGCAGCCCGGTGGGGTGGCAGGGGTTCTGCAGCTGGATCATGCCCATCTTAGTCAAATCCATGGCTCTCCCGAGGCTCACTCATCAGGGTGCCTCGCCGTCGCTCAAATCTGGGACTAGCTTTGTGTGCCGACTATCTGCGAAAACAAAAGGCGGAGGGGGGAGAGGAGCGGAGCGAGATGGGAGGGAAGGGGGGGAAAAAGAGAGAGAAAGGGGGGGAGAAAAAAAAAAAAAAGAAGAAAAAAAGATTAGACTACTGGCCTGTCTGCTTGGTCAATGTACTGTGAGCCTGGCTAAATGTGTGCCTTGCACTGCCTTCCTGCAAGCTTAATTTTATCCTCTAAGAAAGGAGAACCCCTGCAGCCATCAGCAATCTGCTGTCAAACAGAACTGCTCACCTTTGCACACCCCCAGGAACCATTTAGAGAACTCATCTATGAGCTACATTCAGTGGGGGAC